AAATCATAGACACTGCTTGTTTCAGGCTAAAGCCTGTCCGACTTACCAGTGCACAGCTCAAAAGCCAGCATTTGTATGGGGGTGTATTGATGCACATGGCATGGGTAACTTGCTTATCTGTAAAAGTACCATTAATGCTGAACGATATATAGGTTTTGTCAGCATATGCTGCCTTCCAGACAACTTCTTTTTCAGGAAAGGCCTTGCTTATTTCAGCAAGACAGTTCTGCACATATTACAACAGCATGGCTCCATAGTAAAAGAGTCCAGGTGCTAAACTAGCCTGCATGCAGTCCAGACCTACCGGTCACCTGTAAAACATTTATAGCATTATCAAATGAAAAATCTGACAAAGGATACTCAAACTGTTGAGCAGGCGAAACCCTATATCAAGCAAGAATAGGAAAACATTTCAATTTCAAAACTACAACAGTTAGTCTTCTCAGTTCTCAAACGCAGGGTCTTGTTTAAAGAAGAGGTTAAATTAAATATAGAGTTTACATGATTTTCATATCATTGCATTCCATTTTTATTTACATTTTGTACATCATCCCAACTTTTCTGGAAATGGGGTTATATACTAAAGCTATAGTTATTTTTTACTGTCCTCGTATTTGTTTATAATGTTATTTGTCTTAGCCTTTTATTTTGAAGAATAAACTATGTGAATGAAAAAATAGGCTTATTTCAGAATAAAATTAGTTAATCAGTCACCGGGATGCTGACAAATATTAAGGCAGGGTCCAGTGTGTACAGTGTGTAGGTTTGGTCAATGTCTCTTACTATTATTCTTGTTTGTCAGTCTTATAATAGTTTCCTTGACTTTCTCTGGCATAACTCTGGTCCATGTTGACAAACAGCAAAAGCAGACTCCAAAGGTGACCAAAAGTATAGAATCAAGACTATATGCTGAAAGCTGTCTTTTATCTGCAATAATGAAGCAAGTAAACACACTTGAGTAATCACAAACACCTGTGAAACCCTATCTCCCAGACTGAAAATATGCACTTAAAACAGAACTCCACCGATTTTGCAATATTACTTAATGATTCAATTCAATGATTGTTTAGATGTGAACAAAATCATTCAGAGTGGTTTGGTGTGAAATACACCTTTCTAGAGAATTGTTCACCAATAGCGCTAAGAACCAGGTGTCCAAAGCATATACTATAAAATATTTTTAGTACAAACTATTACGCTAGGGTCACTTCTATGTTTCCTCTCAAAACCACATTCTCAACAGGGCAGACAGACTGGTATATACATCCACATACACGATCTCACACACGCACACTTTCTGAAACCGCTTATCCTTCTGGGGTGCTGGAGCCTATCCCAGCAGTCATTGGGTGGAAGGCAGGACACCCCCTGGACAGGCCTTTTTTGCTGTGAGGCGACAGTGCTACCCACTGCGCCAACGTAACGTGCACTAATATTATCTGACTAGTCCAGTCTATTGTTGAGGTGAAAACCCAAGTACTTATAAGACTCCACTCTCTGTGTCCATTTCCTGGATGTTCACTGGTGGAGGGAGGTTTCTGCCCCTGCGGAAATCCACCACTATCTCTTTGGTTTTTCCTGCATTGATTAGGAGGTGGTTCCTTCAACACCAGCCCACAAAGCCCTGGGTCAGTTTTCTGTACTCTCTGTCATCCTCATCTGTAATGAGTCAGATGATTGCTGAGTCATCAAAAAACCTCTGTAGATGACAGTTCGGTGTACATGAAGTCCACAGTGTTCAGGGTGAAAAGTAACGGTGCCAGGACTGTTCTCTGCGGGGCCCTTGTGCTACTGACTACCATGTCACACAGCTGAGCTGACCAGAGGGCAGTGATGAGTAAGGACCAGCCTTTCTAGCGTCTTCATCAGGTGCGATATCAGTGCCACCGGCCTGTAGCTGCTGAGGTCCTGCGGGTGCTGCGTCTTCAGCACTGGTATCACACACAATGGTTTCCACAGTTGTGATACCCTCTCGAGCTTCAGGCTCATGTTGAAAATGTGTCCAACTATTCCACACAGCTGTTTTGCGCAGGACTAAAGGGGCCTGGCACTGATGCCATTCAGACCCGCAGTTTTCCTTGCTTTGATGTTCCTGAGCTCCTTTCCCACCTGGACTGTTGTAAGACAGACAGAAGCAGGGGTGCTGGGTGCTGGAGTGGATGGGTAGGCTGGTTGGGCTGACAGCAGGGGAACCAGTTGGGGTGGGGGGCTGTGAGGTAAGAGTTGTGGAGAGGGGGGCGAATGTGGGAGAGGGGGCAGGGCAGTACACTAGGAGGGCAGTACACTAGGAGCGCAGAAGATGGGGGTTGCAACAGGGATAACTGTGTAGGGGAGGTGAGTGATCAAATCTATTGAAAAATAGATTGAAAGCGTTCACCCACTTTTGGTTCCCTACAGCCTGAGAGTCTTGTTTCTTGTGTTGGGAGATTGTTTTAAGACTTTTCCAGGCCCCATCAATGTTGTTTTTCTGCAGCTGTTCCTCCATCTTTTTCCGTTAGCTGGCTTTTCCCTCCCAGATGCCCTCCTTGTCTCCTGATCTAAAGGCCCTCTTTTACTTCTTCAAGAGAGCCTTTATATCAGGGTTGATTCAAGGTTTGTTGTTGGAGAAACACAGAACACTCTTGGTGGGTACGGTGGTCTCCATGCAGAAGTTAATATAGTCAGTTAAACAGTGTGCAGACTGTCAGTGTTCTCCCCATAAGGATCACACAATTCTTTGCTATTTTGTACAGTACCAGTCAAAAGTTTGGATATGCTAATAGAAAGGTTTTTCTTGTTTTTCACATTTTCACATACTATTTTCCACATTTTAAAATAATAGTAAAGATATCAAAACTATTAAACAATCTTTGGAATAATGCAGAGTTTGTTTCAATGTTACTTTTGGACTTGCAAGTATATTCATAGATGTGCATGAAGTAACATTCTAGACTGAAATGGGATTGTTTGTAGTTTTTTTAATGTAGGTTATGATCCAGTTTAATTGACCCATTTGGGGGAAAAAATCGAAGTACTTAATTATTCATTTCCATGTGCAAGCCCTGCAACTGGATGAAATTGGCTACTGGCCTATGATAATGACAAGGTCCTGCCATGACTTCTCCTTGGTTTCTTAAAAAATGCTAATCTCCTTGAAGGGCCTGGTCTTGCCCACATTTCTTTTCAAGTCTAGTTGAGATCATAGCCTGGATACAGAGGATTATTGTTGGTTATTTGGAGTTGGACATTTCTGTGGAGAAGCTGTGAACAGAAACATTTTGTTTATGACTTGTGATTAGAGATGAAACGATATTAAAATTTCATATCACGATTATCATGACCAAAATTATCACGATTATCGGTATTATCGCGATATAGTTCAAATGTTTTGAAAAGTAAAATAAATAAAAAAATAAATACTGATACACAAACTGAAACTCATTTCACCAACTTTTATATTAACACAAATAGAATTGGCAGCAATATGCACTTTTTATTTGCATAAACATTAAAAAATAAGGTCAATACATTTTTAGTATTACTTTTGTATTACTTACAATACTTGTAATACTCTGTAAACGAAAGAATAGCAAATGTATTATTATTATTATTATTATTATTATTATTATTATTATTACTGTTATTATTCTTTTTCTTCTTCTTCTTCTTCTTATTTTTATTATTATTATTATTATTATTATTAATTACAATAACTGTGGATTTCCCTGCATAGAGAATTAAATCTGGACCAACTCTGAGGTGGGTCTTAATGGAAAATTACTACTTCTAAGAAGTGCTGCACTCGGGGGATTTCTGTCCGAACTGCAACTGCAGCATTAGTGTACCCAAAATCACAGAGGAATTGCGTGACCGCGCTGTGAGCTGCAGACAGTGTAGAACTCACACAGTGTGTCTTCACCTGTGGAGCTGCTTCTCTAAAAGCATTTTAAAACTAAAACATAATTTAAAATTAACATGCATCTAAACTGCGGCAGAAACACTCCTGAAATTTAATCTCTGAAACTCTGCTTTTCCTAAAAGCAGCACGCAGCGTTTACTCGCGCAAGGTCCCGTCTCAAAGCACACTATCTTCCCTATGTAGTGCACTTCGTGGATCATGAAATAGAAAATTCTTCACCCAAAGAGTGCAAGAAACGTTCGACTAAGTCATCTATAATCAACATTAACAACAGGTTACAAATTCCCTATTTAAAACTCAGCTGCTTGTTGATGATGATCGTGTTTGAACAGTAGCGCACTATGTAGGGGACACTGAGTGATTTGAGACAGTTATTCTCTTCTCAGACAGTAAACACTGCAAACGAGACGAAAAAGGGGAGCTGTGCAGATTGAACCTCTGCAGCGTCTCGTTCCAGAGCTCATGTGACTGTTAACTCAGAGTTCATTTTGGAGACTCTGCTCCACAGAAACATGTTAAACGCTTTAGTTTCGATTCACAGTTGATTCACCGATTGTCTTTCTTTTTTCTTTTTTTTGACGCGAAAAGCTTCATTTAACATTATTAACGAACCATAAGCATAGGTTAAACCACACAAACCGTTAAACCACAAAAAGTAGCGGGTGGTGGTCGCGAAATGACTCGGTAAGGTTTGATGTGTTGCCCCCTTTCGCCGCGATTTTCTTTCGGCATGTTCTGCAGACAGGGTGGTCATCTTCAATTAACTTTCCTTCTGCATTCTTATAAAACCCAAAATATGACCAAACGTCAGATTTGGTCTTCTTAGAAGGCTGAAATATCTCCGACTCTCCGAGTTTTCACACCGCGGTAATCGACCGCGGTTTTAACGATACTTTAAAGTTCAAACGGTACTACTAACCGTCATTAATTTTACCGCGGTTTACCGTGAAACCGGTAACCGTTTCATCTCTACTTGTGATTAGCTAAAACTGAGTTGAAACAAGTACTCTAATATGCCAAGTGTTTCCAAATAAATTCAGTTATGTTAAGACAGTTTTCTTTTGACACAGGGTTATAACACTTTTTTTTTCTCTCCAAACAGATCCTTTGTGGAGAGCTTCAACAGTTTGTGCCCAGAGAAGCCATGGGTAACCAAACTGAGCTCAGCTGGTCTGGTTTATTTTCACTTTGGTCGACGAATTCTTTCCCAGCTTACAGGGCTGACACAGGACAGCAGACAGTTGGAGATCCTATTTGATAAGGTTAGTTTCTGTAGCCTTTGAAACATCAAAAAATACAGAAAGATATACAGTAAATAACATATTGGCTGGACTTTGTGTTGCAGCATATAAGAAAAACTAAGTATATTGTTTATAAGGTTAAAGCTGTTGACTTTGATTTTGTTGACTTTTGCTAGGGCTTAGTGATTTGGGGAAAATATTGTGATTTTCTGATCAATAGTTCAATTTAAGTTACATTTTTATGTCAAATTAAGCTCTACAGAAACCTCCTAACTGAAATCTTATTTGTTTAGTTTACCTTGACAACTTCAGTTATGACTGCATTTAGGACAGTAGCTGTTACAGAATAAAAGTTCCTAAGTTGCTAATGTTATTCTAACTCCAGATAAGAAAACAGTATTACAGAAGCATTCTGAGTAGACAAAATGTAGTAAATACTGTTCTAACTTTAGGGCAACTTTAGTGGTGTCCTCCTGTTTTATCCATCGGTTGTGACAGGCAGCATAGTTTACTATAACTTGAATAATAATTTTGCATTAATTTATGTTACAGTGGTTAAACCTTTGAATGTTATTTTTTTCTAATTCATTTTTAACATCCAAGGCACTGCAGATACAGTCTCCACTGTCTATCATCTTTGTGTGTTAATATTGATCAAAACCCAATAAAGAAGATATTGCAGCAATGGCGGTGAATAATGAGGAGACAATGAGTTAAATGTATGGCTGTTTATTAGGAGGAATAACGTAGTGTGGCTTGGATGCCGGCTAAAGCTTTGGGAAACGGAAACTGAACCCTTGGAGACAATGGCTATGCTTATATGCAAAGATTTTTGCCAGTCCGACTGAATGCATTCTGATTACAGATTAAGACTGAAGTGTTTACATGCTCAGTGTACTCAGCAATCTGATGGAAAATCTTTGGTTACTTGCGCACTACAAGTAATCCGATCCAAAATGATGCGCATGCGTGGAGTACCACTTAGTGTAAACGTTACCATGACAGCGAACATGACGTGAGGTCCAAGTTTAAAACATAAACTTCATCTTCTCTGCAGACCAGTTTCTGCTCCCGCCATGTTGAATGTTATAAACTTTTGCTAAGACGCGAACGCACATGCGCAGAACGTACTTACATGGTCCGATTGGAAATGTAATCAGATACAGGCATTTACATGGCTATTATTCTTCTATTTAACGGATTATTTACAGAATTACCCACGTCAATCGGATAGAAATTGATTTCCGAATGGCCTCAATCGGAATAGACTGTTCCGATTGAGGTGTATACATGGATGTATTCTATTCCGATTGAGCTATTAGTCAGATTATTAATGGATTATTATGCTGCATGTAAATGTGGCTACTGATAAACAGCAGGGCACGCTGTCACAATATTCAACATTCTCCAGTTTGTTGCCTTTTAGCTTGGTTTTTACCTTTTATTTATATATATATATATATATATATATATATATATATACACACACACACCTTTTTTTAACTTTTTACCTTTTTCAGATATAACTGATTATCAACCTCGATCGAGTAGTTTAGGATTTCCTAACTTGAGATAATATGCTGTAAGATAAGATATAATTCCAATATATTTGTTTCTGTAGTACAAATATGTGAAACCTATTGATGTTTTCACATCTTAATTTAGGACTAAAAAATAGGAAGCTTAATGTAATATAGCCCCAGGTCTGTAGTGGTGTTATGCATACTGTCAAACATCTACCAAGCATAATTACAACCTTTCTAATTTCTGGATAAAAAAAAGAATCAAATGAAATCAGGAAACATTTTAAGGTAGCATTTACGCAGTCCGAAGGTAAAGGCAGTCCCATTCTGACAGCAGCATGTCAGCTGTCATTTAAGGTGCCTTATTTTGACCAGATTTGAAGGCAGCATTGCATGTATCCTTCTCGGCAAAGGCAATCCCATAATGCTGTACGATGGTTGAGAGTTCCATCTCTTCAATATGAAAAGCATGGCGGATGGAGTGGTCGTTTCTGCTGACTGAGGGGTTTAAAAATGTAAGTTATTTCTTGTCTTTTGTCTTTACTCTTTTGATTGACTGCCATAATTGTTTAAAATATTTGTATTTTCATATCATTAGAAATGGTTCCTCTGGTTGTCCACCTGTCTAATTTGGCCTGACAGACTGCATCTTTAACTCTGACAGCTGCGTTTTGAATCATCTGTTTGTTTGTCTTTTTTGGGAGTCCAGTTAGGAAACCATTACAGTCATCAATCCTGCTAGAAATAAAGGATGAGATTCTCCTGATCTGGTTTTGTTAGAAAATCCCTGATCTTGTTGATGTTTTTAAGCTCATTTAGTAACTGCTTTGACATGATTGCTAAAACTAAGATCAGAGTTTATTGGTATGCCAAGGTTTCGTAGAAGTTCTTCAGATTTTAGGGCTCCAGATAGGCAACTAGTCTATACCTCTTATTGCTATTCCCAAATAAAATAAACTTTTTTTTTTATCTTTATTCAACTGCAGAAAGCTTTGTCCCATCCAAGTTATGTTATGATATGCTCAAGGCGCTTACAAAGTGAGTCAAGGGAACCATAGTTGACTGGGGAAAGCGCCAAGTAGATCTGAGTATCATCTGCATAGCTGTGGTAAGATAGCCCATAGTCTTGTAGTATTTGGCCAAAAGGCAGCATGCATAAATTAAATAAGAGTGGCCAAAGAATTAAAATACCCAATGTTTTAATCTATGAAATAAAAAAGGGAAGACTGTTCCAGATGATTTTGTATATATTTAGTTTATCACTGTCTCAATGAATGCCTTGAGTTTAAATAGATCATAACGTAGTCTTGTAAATGTCTAACTATAAATGTTTTTTTTTTTTTATTATTTTGCTGTGGGACTCCAGTTTGAGCTGATTTAGTTATATGGTCTACATATAATTAAATTTTTTTTGAAAAGTCAATGAAAAAAAAAAAAACAAATGTGATTTTTACTTCCCAGAACCGGAGCCACTGAAAAAGTGGGTGGTCACTGTTCAGCTCTATAATGCCCTTTTTACTAATTTGTCCCTGCCCACAATGTTGTGTTTTTCTATTTCAGAGATGTAGCAGCCTGGGTGCCGTGGACTGAGGGCTGTCAATCACACAGACTTGTTGGACCACACCCAGACACTTTAGAAAAGTTTTTTAAAGCTGTGTTTTATTATAATTCTTATTTCTTTCAAACTTTTCTGGGTATTTATTACATTACATTTCAGTATTTTAAGTACCATATAAACATATTTACTATTTTACTGTCAAATATTTACAAGAATGTTACTTGAATGTCTGTTCCAAGCTTGCATTATTTTTCATTAAACTGAAATCACAGTTTTCTTTGGCTTAGAATTGATTATTATTCTCACTTATGATTCTTTGACACACCAATTTTGTAAACAAAGGTATAGTTGAAAGTTTAATAAATGCTTTCTATATAAACTCATGTATCATTTAGAAAAAGTTACAAAAACCACTAAATGTTTGAAACCAAGAGCATGATTGTGGTGACGCACGTTTAGCAGGCTGAAAATTCAACACAAAAGGGGGCTGTTAGCCCTCAAACTGATTTTGGGCTCATTTCATGGATAAACATTAAGTCTAGATTGGACTAAACTGCACTGTCAATGGGGTTTCAGCTCTTGATTTGTCCAAAAGATTTGTGCATTTAGGTTTTGCCCATTCAGGATTAATCTGGGTCTGTGAAGCCAGTCCTTTGTGTGAACCACTAGAAGCGAAGAAGTTGTTTGCTTGCGCCATCCCATTGCTCCATTCACATCATAAATATACAATTACATACTTGCATTGGTGGCATGCATGACTGATTAATAGAACACAGTTTTTTAGGGGTTCCAGAGCAGCAAATCCACTTTGTCTATTGAGGCATGTATTCTGACAGTGTACAAGCACAGATAAACTCAACAAGGTGAATACCCAAGTTTTAATTTTAAATGTTACTTTTAGCTCTGTTTTATGTCCCAAAAACCTTTTTAAAGAATCCAGTTCTATTAATCTCAGTATGCTTTATAGATTGATTTTGTATTCTGGTTTAGCCACGTGTGTACTTGACTTAATACATGTGTAGACCTAATAGAATACTAAGACTACTTAATAGAATAACAAGACTTGATACTTCTAGTATTATTAGTTGTGATTGAGGAACGGTATCATGCTGTCACACTTTTGAGTGGCCATTTAAAAAGGCTCTGACCTAAGGATCACATTGTGATGCAGGGATGCAGGATTGGAATCTTGTAGTATCAACAGAAAAACATTTTCATCAGACAGATGTATAGATTTATCCGAAATTCCAAACCAATATGTGAAGGTGCATTTATTGTGTTCGTGGAAAACAATGTTTAGCTATGCTGGGCTACTGTGCTAAAATATCAGGGTTTTTTTTGTGTGTGTGTTTGTAACCCTATAGAAATAGCTTGATCCCCAGTCTTCATGAAGATTTGTAGCACTGTTTTTTGGCACAAACATGTTTGGTTGTACTTCTGTATGCATAATACTATGGATAATACTTCAGGATTTCTGTATCAGGGCAGCGCCTATGGTAGCTAGTTTGTTTGCAGTCTGTGTGTGTGTGTGTGTTTGTGAGCCTCCCTGTAAGGCCTTTTTCTCCACAATCACCAAAGGTGTGCTTGGTGGAAAAAAAGAAGCACTGTTAGATGAAAAGTATGCCACCTGTTGAGAGTGAGGGTGCATCTTTGCCAGTCACAGTGGAATAGGAAGCATTGTATGGGTAGATAAAGGAATGGATTTCTTCATTGAAAATAAAGTAACTGACACCAGACATACCTTGGCTGATTGACTACATCTGGAGGAATTAACCTGTTCCCAACATTTTAGTTCATATGTATGAAATTTGTGACTGTAAAAGTATGTGAAAATAACATGTGCATGCAAGCAAAACATCAGCCTGGTGAAGATGAGTGACCGAGCAAGCTTCTTCATAAAAGTTGCTCTGCATCTAATTTTTTTTCTGACATCCATTTATCTTGCTGATTTGCTGACCAACTGACCTTTTTTTTTGTACAGCTGTACGAGAACTTTGTTGAGGAAGTGGATGCAGTGGATAACGGGATTTCTCAGTGTGATGGTGAGGCACATTACACTATCAGCACCACCCTCAGTGCTCGTGTTGGCTATCTTAACCCACGGTGGAATAGTGATTGCCAGGACACAGAGGTTAGTGTGGAAAAAGGTAGTTCTTTTTAAAAAAAAATTCTCATGTTCATTGTCAAGTTATCTTTAAATAACCTCTTTCAAGAAATCTTTTATAAGCTGCTACAAACATTTAAATTGACTATAACAACCATCTAAATTAACCATGACAGCCAACTTGAGTTAGTTATTTGCAAGAGAGGGTATATGATAGTGGGGTAAAAATTTCAATTTGATTTGCATTTTACCTTAATGATGATTTGGTTACATTTTTCGTCCTGTAGTTTAAAAATGAACTTCCAAAAGAGAAAGTTTAAAAAAAATTGTAATCAAACAATTATGTTCAGAGTTACATAAAAAACAGTAAATGGGTATTAACAGTAACATTTAGGTGCCCATGATATACGCTTGTCATGCCTGTAGTATCTGGTCAGCCTGTTAAGTTCTCCTCACATTCTTGCAGGTGTCAATACAGTACATGCTCAGAAGAAAAAACTTCAGTGTCTTTGGCTGACCTAGGTCCTGTAAATTGGAGAAAAAACAATTACTGTGGACCACCCATCAGCCAACCAAGAAGTGTATCCACTTGCATATGAGCCAGTAAAGTCAGGAATGCATATCTGCTCATTGTCTAGTCTCACAGACATGATATCATAATGAGAACAACTAGTTTATCTGTTGGTAGTAAATTGTAGTGAAATCCACCCGATAAGAGTCTCTCTAAAACTGCCCCCAAATTCCTCTAGTCGGTACTCTTTTAATATCCCGAGTGCAATCACCAACATAAGCAAAACAAGCTAAGGAGCGAAACACTGTTGTTAGCCGACAGTTGTTTTTGAGGTAGTTTGAGTTAGGTTATTTGCCGCCCCTTAATTAGAACTCTGCCTTCTTGAGGTGTTAGGTTTAGATTCTGTTTGTTCCCACCACAGTAAAGGTACCATCCCACCCCCATTTAACCTAAAATTTCTCATGATTGTTCCCAGATTTTGTTGTGACAAGATCACATCTGGCCTACAAGACTTCTTGTCAACCTGTTTTGACAAGGAAGCATATCTACTTTCCAGGCAACTATATTGTGTGTCCACAGCACATAACGGGTGGCTGTAACCTACTAGTATACCTAGCAAGTTACAACCTCGAGCACACACAGCAGTGCTCCTAGAGTGTTTGAAACCAACCAACTACAAATATTCAGCTAGCAGTGTTTAATATCTGATCTTTGAAGCACTGTAGATCGAAATGAGAAATGAGCGAAGAGAAACTGCACAGAAGAGCGTGATGTGCCCTTTCCAATTAGCCCTGGATTGCGTTGCTGGCCAGGAAACCAGAGCTACAGATCCTGAAAACACCAATTCTTATATACATGGATCAGGTATAACATTATGACCACATCCTTGTTTCTACGCTCATTGTCCATTTTATCAGCTCCACTTACTATTTAGGTGCACTTTGTAGTTCTACAATTACAGACTGTAGTCCATCTGTTTCTCTGCATACTTTGTTAGCCCCCTTTTACTCTGCTCTTCAGTGGTCAGGACCCCCATGGACCCTCACAGAGCAGGTACTATTTGGGTAGTGTATCATTCTCAGCACTGCAGTAACACTGATGTGGTGGTGGTGGTGTGTTAGTATGTGTTGCACTGGTCTGAGTGGATTTTGGAGTTTTTAAACACATCAGTGTCACTGCTGGGCTGAGAATAGTCCACCAACCAAAAATATCCAGCCAACAGTGTGCTGTGGGCAGCGTCCTGTGACCACTGATGAAGGACTACAGGAGGACCAACACAAACTGTGCAGCAGCAGGTGAGCTATCATCTCTGACTTTACATCTACAAGGTGGACTGACAAGGAAGGAGTGTCTAATAGAGTGGACAGTGAGTGGACACAGTGTTGACAAAACTCCAGCAGCACTGCTGTGTCTGATGCACTCAGACCAGCGCAACACACACTAACACACCACCACCACATCAGTGTTACTGCTGTGCTGAGAATGATCCACCACCCAAATAGTACCTACTCTGTGAGGGTCCATGGGGGTCCTGACCACTGAAGAAGAGGGTAAAAGGGGGCTAACAAAGTATGCAGAGAAACAGATGGTCTGTAATTGTAGAACTACAAAGTATGCCTATATAGTAAGTGGAGCTGATAAAATGGACAATGAGCGTAGAAACAAGGAGGTGGTCATAATGTTATGCCTGATCGGTGTATTAAAAAAATGAAAGGTCAGTCTTTTGCACAATACTGTGTTTTGGTTAAAATTTTATAATATTGTTTTCTACATCCAACTTTTAACTGGAATAAATGAAAATATTTGTTCACCTGGTACCCATGTTAAAGCTCATGGCACTGTGACGCTTCATTGAAAAATCAATCTTAAGATTAAAAATATATCTGCATTTTCCTGTGTTTTCCATTACTTCTGAACATGAGTATTTGTTTGATTTTAATAAGAAAAGTATTATAGAACATGCCTTTAGTTTATTTTTCTTTTAAATATTTTAATTTTAAACTGTTTGAATTACAACATGCATTATTAGAGAACCAGACACATTGTGAGATTGAGAGTTTTAACAAGTAAAACCTTAACTTTTAATGTCTTTCAGAAAGCATGTGCAAGATAGACAACCTCATAATTCACCATGGGTATATTTTAACTGGGGGAATAGTTTGTTAGCTAATGTAAACATTGAGTATCAAACAAATGAGCTCAGCGACAAGTATCATGTCAAGTGATGACATCTGTGGGTTGAAGGTTTAAGTGAAATGTTACTTTTGTAATTCTTTTTTATAGGAGGGTTTTCTTAAAGCCATGGCCTTGGTGGGAACTGAGTTCTTAGATCGATTGGACTACTATCAAAATGCATGGCTCCCTGCACGAGCAGTAGTGGAGGCTGCTGTTCAGACAAGGCGTCAGGTAACCAAGACACTTGCTGTAAGCACTGTAGCTTAGATTCACAAAGAATTCTGTACTACAGAGAATTTTTCATTTAGCCCTATTCATATCATTAACACATGGTATGTGTGAGTTGAGCATGAAAAAGAGTAAATGAGTTTGTGAGTAGAGGTAGTGCTTGTTATTCAAAGAATTGCTTTTGCATAGGTGGATGCCAGTGGGGAGATAATTATGCTGGCCCAAGGTGGATGTCCTTGGAAAGAGCATCTCTTTGCCTTGGAAAAAGAGCTAAAGGTGGAGGTACCAATCAAATTTGTGCTCTATCCAGACCAGAATGGCCAGTGGAGAGTCCAGTGTGTGCCGACAGGGCTCAACACGTTCCAAAACAGGTAGAGTTTAAGTCACAGACCTCTTACTTTTTATTTTTTGAAACACTTCTTATTCTTTTTAGAAACTGTCAGAATTGAATTTAGCTTGTCTGACCTTCATAACCTCTGGAATCCACAGTGATAAATGCAGGGAGTTTTTGTTTATGACAAACCTCAACTTTCCCATCATTTGTACTTACTTTCGTGCTTACATATACATATTCTACATGCCTTTAAGATTCAACAAGGATTTTACCTTATCTACTTGATCTTTTTAGTGCAGAAAGTTAAACCAGTTTAGGCCAAAATGTTGGTTTATGTTTAGTACTACTTTCAGACTGACCAGGAAAATCAGTGAGATTTTTTGCCTACTAGGACAGCAGTGCCAGTGTAGGGCTTCAGCAGATTTGTTACAACACACATATTTGAGCCAAATATAAAATGCCCAGAGTGTGTAAATCAAGAATGTGAAAGGTTTGAAGAGAAAGAAACAGTGAATGACATTCATTAAACATTGTGCTAATCATGACTATAGAGCAGAACCTTGACAGTAATGAATTTGTGAAGCTTTATTAGAAGTGTTGATTTCCTTTGGCTCACAGATGCAGAGGGTTTTAGTTTATTCTCATTATTCACACTTTCAAAAAGTGCTAAAGATTGTTTACACACAGTGCCTTGCAAAAATATTCAGACCTATAAATGTTCTGTATTGCAAGTAATACACACATACTGAACAAAAATATAAACACTTTTCACTGGGAAAAAAAAAATCCCCTCCAGAAAGCACAGTGGGTCATAAAACAGAATTTCTACATGAATATCTGGTGTGACCATCATTTGCCTGTAGCAACGTGAAACATTTCTAAGAAAAAAATACTTTTTATCAAACTGTTGGAAAATGGGAGCCAAACCAAAAGTGTTGCATTTATATTATTGTTCAGTATGTGTTTCCATTTTTTTCATTGTCAACTGATGGTCCAACTCTTATTTTGGCTTTGCACATTTAGTTATTTGCTGTCAGATATTTTAAAGTAACCCAAAGTGTTACCAATTTTCAGCTTACCCCAAATGTAGCCGATCAACCAGTACATGTTTGGTATCCAGAGCTTGCTTTTTTTACCTTTGGAAGCTTACATTATATAAAAAAGTCTATACACCTTTAATGGAATTACAGGGTTTTGTAATGTAAAGCCAGAAATTAAGGCAAATTCTGTCTGGTCAAACAGAAAAATAAAATGTTTTTAATTTTTTATCTTTCCTAGCAATGATCTGTTTGTTTTTCTCTTGAAATTTGTTGGTTGCAATATAACATTAAAGATGTCTGATATGATTTATGGCTTTCCATCACAAAAAATTGCAATTTCAATAAGGGTGTGTAGACTTTTTATATCCACTCTATAACCAACCAAATAATATCACGCAACCTGCATGTCTAAATCATCACTAATTTGTCCCAAAAGACAATGTTCTATTAAGTAATACCATTTGTGCATTTCTGTATTAAATGAAAGGTCTGTATTAAAAAAAAGTCATAGATGAATTCAGATAGAAATATACAGTCGACTGCAAAGTTTGGTTGCGCTTGCACAAATGAAATTTTTGGTTGATTTTATTTTAAGTGAAAATAAGTTAACATATCATCTAGAGAGAACACACTTCTGCACATTTTAATACATATTTACTGTTTATTTGCTGAATTTAACAGGTTGAACATAAAATGGCCTGTGCACAAGTCATGGCACTGTGCAAAAGTCATGGCACATTTGTTTTTTCAGACTAAAATAAATATAAATTGTGCACTAAAATTTGCATATAAAATGGTATATTTCTGTGTTCCCTGTAAAGGGTATATTAACTTTTTTCACTTAGGAAATCAACAAGAAAATATTTTGCCAGGGATATTCAAACATTTTCCTCCAACAACTACATCATCAAGGTGGGATCATGTTGTGTTTTTGGGAAGGCCTTGCTGCCTTTTTTTTCCCCACATTGATTTCTTATTAGGCAGCATATCTCCAGGTATGGACTCTCTTCTACCCATTGAAGTATGGTAGATAACACCACTACGGGGCGCTACTCATGTTTCAAAACAGCAAAACAAGCAAATATCTTATCCTGTTCAGCTTATTCACATGCAATTGGGCTAAAATAATGCACATTTGTGAGTCTGACAACTTACATCACATTATGAAATTCATCACACTATGAAATAATAATTTTCATAACATAGTCCAAATAACGTATCACTTCAACATCTGTCATACTAGCGCTGTCAAAACTGGTCAAAAAAACGACGTTCGATTATTCCTTCCTAAAAATCACATTGGTTTGAACCGTTTGACTATCTATTTTGGCACATTTGGTCCATAAGAGGGCAAACAAATACAATGAGAAACTATTTGTTGTTGTATAGGTATATATTTCAACATAAACCTTTTTTTTAAATGTCTACCTACATACACATTACAAAATAAACAAAAAAAATAGGTTATGGTATATAGAACAGACATTCAGTGCTACAAGCGAGCCGTGCTGTGATAAACATGGAACAGCAATTATTTTTTCCTTGACATGAAACAAGAGTGCAGGTCCCCATTGGGACTCTTGTTGTGCTGCATATAGCAAACTTGTGGTGGGCAGTGTAAAATATGAGTCAAGATGTGGCTTTTTGGGTGGAGTTCCAGACATTAGGCAGTGGTCGTTTAGGTGTATATCTTCGAGAAGTGCCCTCAGGTTGCTAGTGCTGAAATGGTAGGCCAACTGTAGCTTATATAGCTTGCATACAGCTTTATATCAAGATTTTACAATTTTGCCGTCTACTGTCCTAGGTATTTCCAAACTGGGCTTTTTAAATTGCTTGGAATGCAAATCACTCTCTCTCTGCAGTTGAGTTGGGTTGTGAACTCTCTGCCATTATTGCCACATTGGTTGTTGTTGAATTATTCCCATTCCCATTTCAACTTGATCTACATTCCATTTTCGATCAATGAATGTGACGTTGTGTGACTCGTGTCCGTCATGCAGTGCATTGAGTGCAGCTGCCCAGGCCCACACAAGAACTCACAGGACAGAGAGCTTCGGTAGTGCTCCAGTTTTTTTTTTGTTTGTTTGTTTTTGTTTTTTTTTTTGCAAATATTCACAAGTGAACGTCTTTTTTTCACAATCCGATTGTATAATAAAATTTAGAATATTTGTTGTCAACAGTATGTCATACTATGCAGAAACCAAAGATTATCATTTTACCTCAGCATTGTAAAGTAAATGCAGGCAAATTTACCAAATAATTAAAAAAGGTAGCCATTTGCACCCCATCAAATTGATTCAGGAGTCAAATTCAACACATAACCATTACCAGTAAGTAAACCAAAACAGCAGTAGATATAATGACCAAACCAAATATGAAGTAATTTTACAGCAGCATTTTAAAGTAATTGGCAGCCAGAGTTACCTGATCTGTTCATTAAGTAATTTGCATCCCATATAATTGACTCTTCAGTTTGCAGCCAAAATGATCAGACCCCTTTTGCCTGTCTTGTCATATTCAGCATGTTATAATATGTCCATTACCAATAATTTGACCAAAAAGCAATGAATTTTGGTGTAAAATCTGTCAGACTAGAAATCAAATATTTACTGCAGCATTTTAAGTTAATTACAGTCAGTGTTCCCAAAACAGTCTAATCGATTCTTTAATCAAATTCAACATGTTTTAAAATGACTATTATCAGTAATTAGACCATAAAATTAAAAAAACACTGAACTTAAGAAACTTTCCAAAAACTTAGGAATTTCAACACAACATAATTGCCAGAAGCCAATCAAATACAGAGTCAGAGCTTCCTCTGTAAAAACCATGCATATTCTGCTCTGACTCAGAAAGGCTTTTCTGGATTGTTGTAAAACGTTGCAGACATGTACCTTAGGAAGGTCTTTTCAAATTTTAGTGCAACCGCATTTCTTGGGGGCACTATAACATGTAAGACAATGCTATGCAATGTTAAGTACTGTTGTGAAATTGTGCATGCTGCTACTGTGTCCTTTTCTGGTTCAGGTTCACTGAGATTGACATCATATCTGGAAAAACATGGCTAATCAGATTTCAGCATTTGACAGTCTTAGAATTGGCCAGTCTCCACAACACTTAATATTCATGTGTGAAACTTTGCTGGCATGTACCTTTGGGGTCAAAGCCATAATTGCAATGTTGGGCCTACTAGCGAAAGACAGACTGGACCCCAAACAAATTGTTGAGATAATTGGCAAAATATGTGAAATGTGTGACAGTTTCTCAGCAACTCATTATGTTAATCCCGGATAAAAATAGATCACTTCAAATTTGTTTGATAAATGTGCTGTGCAAACTAGTCTGCATTTTGTTTTATCAAATTGTCTCAAACTTGGTCTTTAAACATTCTGTAGAGTCTGTATAAATAATAATTGAAAAAAAATCTAGACTGTAAAGCACAGACTGACTGCAAGACGACGATGCAATACAAAGATTAAAATAAAGAAATGATTTCAAACTCATTAATACCTAAAACTTTGTAAATATATGTATGTTTCACAATTCAACAGAAAATCTGACAGTGGAATGGCTGTATTGTCTCCAATCATTAGGGGAAGCTTCAGCAGTAACTGCAAATTGCAGATAGTGGTAAGCTTTAATATGAGGCACAGAGTAATGATCAAATCCTGTGGCACAAAAAGATTAATATTTTGTAATCCACTAAGCCTAATTTAAAAAAAAAAAAAAAATTCAAATCATTAAGGTTTGAAAAGTCATTTTTTCATACTACTTCATGGATTGCATCTCAAACTTGGTTTTAAAGCAACTGGTAAGGTCTCCATAATAATAATAATAATAATAGCGTAATAAAAGCATCTTGCAGATAAAACTGAACTCGTGCTATATTCCTTAAACGGTAAAAAGCTGTTTTGGTAATATATGTGCTTTTAAAGTTAAATCGGAGCCTAGAGTTACACCAAGATTCCTGACAACAGTTTTTATTTGTAGAACCAGA